GTAAACGCGCACGTTTATGTGGGTATGGGCGCGCGTGTGTGTGTGCGCGTGTACGCATGCGTGTATATTCGTGCCTTTGACTTAGTTCGTTTGCTCGTCTTTCTCCTTACGTGGAAGTTACGTCCAAAATACGCTGGCTGCTGGATGGCGGGCAATGGTGGGTCGGTCAAGTGGGCGCTAACGGACTGGTATATCGGGATTAAGCTGCGTTCACGTTACCCTGACCCCTTGCAACTATGATGAGGGGGAGGAGGAAGAGAGGAAAACGACTGGGAGAACAGGGATGGCACTCAGACACAGACACAGAGAGAGAGAGAGAGAGAGAGAGAGAGAGAGAGAGAGAGAGAGAGAGAGAGAGAGAGAGAGACTTACCTGCTGACGCACGCCTGCTGGTCTGCTCCATCCACCTGCCGCTGCCACTTGCTCGGCCCGAGCCTTCCTGTCTAATCCCCACTCCTCTCCTTTCCTCCCACACCTCCCCACTCCTATGCCTTTTGAGCTGCCACATCGCCCCCCGGGCCGCAGCAGTACCTTACGGGATTGGCAGCCCGTAAGGCAGGTTTTTCCAACCTTGGGTCTGACAGCTGGCTACACTCGACAGATGGCTGCATGGCTGCAAGAGTGCAAGGGGTCTGTTGGAGGAAGGACTGGGTGACGGGAGGACCCACTGGTGCCCCCCGGTGGCTCCTCCCGGACCCGGATCAGATGAAGAGATATAGAAGGGGAAGGGGATCAGCTGGACTCCTGAACTACTGAGGGTCCCAAAAAAAAAAAGAAGAAAAAAAAACACAGTCTAGCCAGTTCAGTCAGCTTTTTTTCTGCTTTTCTGCTTTTCTGGTTCACCTTTTAGCTCGTGTCTCAGACATTTTGTGTTGTAGTCAGTTTTATTTTGTTTAGACTGTGTTCGTCTTCCAGCCTCAGGGCCTCGTTCGACACCACTACAAAACCCTTACTTTGTAAGGGTGCCCTTAGGGCGAAAAAGTGATTAACTTCCCCTTACCTCATTTTTCGTTCCACAACCACTTAGGAAAACCCTACACTTAGGCGCACTTACATTTCAGGTGCCTCCGTTTGCGTTCTAAGTGGCCGAAAAACACACCTGATGTTAAAAAAAATAAAAAATAGAAATGGTTCTTTTGCGGATGTAAGGGTGCCACCCCCTACTTTCAAGTCACCTCCATGGGCCTCCTTACATCAAGGTCCGTTTTGGCTGGGGAGTCCTTACTTTTGTAGGGCCAGCCCTTACGGCCGCGAATGTGAAAACAAGTTCGACTTCTTTTTCTTCGGGATTAGGGAGGGGTGGAACGATGAAAACCGTACATGTAAGGGTTTTCTAGTGGTGTCAAACAAGGCCCTCAGTCTGTTTCTCTAGTTCGTTTTAATCTGGGTTATCCATTTTAATTAGTTCTATTTTGTTTCACTCTGCAATACTTCAAACTCAGGGCAGGACCGACGGAGGACAGTGTCGAAGTGTAGGTTCTTTTGGGGATGGGCAGGGAGACGGAAGGAGTACCCACTGGTGCCCCCCAGTGGCTCCTCCCGGAACCCTGACCGGGCACAGGGGTGGAGAGGGAGATGGGGACCACCAGCTTTCAGGTCCAGGGTCGGGGTCACGTGCACACCTGCTCAGTCAATCCTCTGGATTCCAGAGCAATCAATGCTGGCAGGCACCGTCCAGTCACCATCCAATTTTCCCTTCTATGTATCATACTGTATCAAACTGTGTAAGGGACACTGGACCCGTTTTCCAGCAGGTGATGCTCCCCACCAATATATGGAGCTTCTCCCCAGGTGCTAGCGATGTCTGCCCCAAACAGCATCGCTAGCACTGGAGGGTCTGTTAAAAAAAAAAAAAAAAAAAAAAAAAAAAAGTCTACTGGTCCTCCGTTGGACCTAAGCGGTGGTGCGAAGGCGGGCATTTTCGGGAGGGGTTTGGAGCGAGGCCCGGAGTGGCTGTTGGGTGGACGACCTGTCGAGGGCATCAGTTTTTTTTTTCCTCTCTCTTTTCCCTTTTTCTTTCTCCCCGCCCCTCTACAACACCCTGCCCGAAAAGGCCAACACTTGAGCCTACCAACAAGGGGTAATGTATGCTGTACTGGTTGGCTGGCTCTTAGTCTCAATGATTTGGCATCCCTAAGTCTCAATGATTTGGCTACCTTAGGGATGCGTTCCCCGCCCCCACGGGGTAGACAATTGGGCCTACCAACAACGGGTAATGCATGCCATACTGGTTGGCCCTAAGGGTAGATGTTCGCGGCCCTAAGGCTGCGGTATAGTGGGCTTCCGCGTCTGTGTCAAGGTGTCACATTTTTGGCGGCGGGTGACCAGGACGCAAAGTGGGTTCTTAGGGGGCAAAAAAAATTGGGGGACCGGTCCTTGCCAAAATTGCAGACTACCTACAGCTACCTCTGGTAGAACCGGGACTTTTGGAAAAAAAGATGACCGGTCCTCGGGTGGAAGTGGACCCCAAAAAGAACTGGGGGGCGTTGGACTGGTCCTCGGGTAGAAGCAGACCCCAAACAGAAGTGAGGGCATGTGAACTGCAAAAGGGCCCTCAGGCCCAGGGGTTGAGGCCCGTCTTCTCAAAACAGGGAGGTCAGGCACAACGGAACAGGCATTTTGGAAGAGGCAACTTCTGCGATTTTCGGTGCTCGGACGAACCTGCAGAAAAATCTAAAATTTTGAGAATCCATAGACGAGGTTGTGTTCTTTCCAGGAATAATATTAGAACATTTTCCAAAAATCCTTTTGACTGCGAAATAATCATCCCGCCGATTTGGCACATTTTCCATTTTTGCCACTCAGCCATATGTGAGCCAACTAAAAAACTACTCCAAATTCAGCGAGTTTTCTCGCTCAGACGAATGCGTGAAAAAAACTGAAAATTGGAGTACTCGTAGAATTTGTAGTGATCTTTCCAGGAAGAATGCTCAATAAATTAAAAAAAATCATTCCAAGTATGAAATAGATTGCGGCCGCAATTTGACCCATATTTCAATTTTGCCATTCAACATCTCTCTCTCTCTCTCTCTCTCGCTCTCTCGCTCGCTCGCTCTCTTTTGTGTGCTCTCTTAGTTTAATTGCTTTGGCTACCTTAGGGCTGCGTTCCCCGCACCCATGCAGTAGACAATAAGATATTGAAAGTTTGCAGCCCTAAGGTTGCGGTATAGTGGGCTTCGGCGTCCGTGTCAAGGTGGCGCATTTTTGTCGGCGGGCGACCAAGACGCAAAGTGGGTTCTTAGGGGGGCAAAAGTTTTTGGGCGGACTTGTCCTTGGCAAAATTGCAGACTACCTATTGACTTACCGTGAGGGCACGGGTGCGCTGCCCGTAGTTTGTATATGCTTGATTGATAAAGGAGGCGTTATTGGTGAGGTTTAGAAGTAGGGTGATTGTTGCATTAAAAAAAATGAGTATTTACGTGTATGTGTCAAGAGTAGTGTGTGTGTGTTTGTGTGATACTTAGGGTGTTTGTGTTTATCACATCTGTTAGTGTTGGAATGTGCGGGATTTAGGTAATTTGTATGGTATTACTGTATTAGATATTTGACATACCTTGATTCATAGTTGGTGTCGAGGCTGGTGGTCCTTGAATCTTGGTCCATATGTCGTATATGTGTGCGCATGAGTGTTTGTTGTCGTAAGTTTTCTTTTTATTAAATAAAAGTTGTTTTGTCACATGTGACTCACTCAATCAGGCGATGAACGTGTGGGGCGTTCAATATGCCCACGTTCATACATATCCGTTTACACTTGCAAATGCAATGCAGGTGTGTCATTTCAACCTGCGGCGAAGGCCACGCCCTTTTCGATTCACACTTTTCCACTTTTCCATCCTGCCGCTGCTTTGTCACCGTTTCAACCAAAACCCAGCGCGCGGTCCCACGGGCAGCTACCGGTCCCATATTTTCCAAAGAAACTGCCACCACCACCCAAAGATTCACCTTGCTACTGCTTTGCCATCTTTTCCACCAAAACCCAGCGCACGGTCCACGGGCAGCTATCGGTCTTGCATTTTTCAAAGAAACTGCGACCGACCCCCCAAAGTGTCGTGTCTGCACCTGCCTGCATTTTTTAACCTCCCAATGACCAAACGAGCCCGAATCAACGACCGATATAACGAAGGACGTTTAAAATGTATCGGGGTGGAAATGTCTCAGGGGGGGACGGGCTGCGAACAGCTATCTCTGGTAGGGCCCTCAGCCCCAGGCTTTGAGGCCCGTCTTCTCAAAACAGGGAGGTCGGGCGCAACAAAACAGGTGTTTTGCAAAAGGCAATTTTCGTAATTTTCGGTGCTTGGAGGAATCCACAAAAAATCTGAAATTTTGAGAATCCACAGACGAGGTCTTGTTCTTTCCAGAAACAATATCATAACATTTTCAAACAATCATTTGGACCGCGAAGTAATCATTGCGCTGATTCAGCACATTTTCTATTTTTGCCGCTCAGCCTTGTGTGGGCCAACTGAAAATGTACTTCAAATTCAGGGAGTTTTCACGCTCAGAAGAATGCGTGAAAAAACCAGAAAATTGAAGTACTCGTAGATTTTGTTGTGATCTTTCTAGGAAAAATACTAAATAAATTTTAAAAAAATCATTCCAACTCTGAAATAGATCGCGGCCGCAATTTGACCCATATTTCAGTTTTGTCATTCAGTCTCTCTCTCTCTCTCTTTCTCTCTCTCTCTCCCCCCCCTCTATGGTATCCCCCC